GGGTAGGGGAACAAAAAGAGAGCAAAAAATACAGAAAAGAAAGCAAGGTGATATTGACGTGTTTAGCATTGTGCTTAGATATTTTATGTCATATTAAATACCCAACCAGCATTTTCTATACGGTTCCTTCTAATTATTTAGGCACATTCAATGCTTGGTGTGTTTAGCATAAATGTTTTTTAGGTATTTGATATCATAAGCTTATTTAAAGTATTTTTGAATATATAAAAACTGGGGGGAAAGGGGCGTAACTACCATTTTTTTCTTCCTGCAATGTTTCAAATATTCAAAAATCTTTATCTCATTAACGCTCCAGAGTTTTTCGTCAAATAAGCTTCTTGTGTGTTAGAAAAATTAGTTGTACAACAAGTTTCAGCAAGAAAAGTGTGACAATGTTTATAACAAAGCACGACTGGATAGGCTTATTAAAAACTGGGATAATTTCAAAAGTGCGAAATGTAATACTAAGTTTGCTCATTATAAAATGTTTTGTCACATTTTGTATTTGTGAGCTGGTATGCCTACCGTTGTGAAACACCACTTGAATTTTACACATTTGCTTTGCCCTTATGGCGCTCCATATACTTTACTACAACATGACTTACCGCATTTCAAATTAATCCACAGTGCCCGGGCGTTCTTGGTTCAACTATAACTTAACCTACTGGAAGCACAGAAATGAAAAGAATTTTTACTGGACAACATATGAGAATATGAAGCTGGTAAGTTTATCTGATAAGTTTCAATTATGTAGCGAAAACACTTGTTTAAAAAAAATGTTAATTTATTTAAAAAGTTATTTCACCATAATCAAAATTGTAGTTATATATATATACGTATGTTTTGATGTTCTGCTTTATTGTCTTTGATGTTTTTTCTCTCTCCTTTTATGGTGGGGTGGGGGTTATTTAAAGACACTGAAATTGAATTACCTTCATCACCATAATCTCCATCATCTTCAATATCATTGTCATTAGAAATATAAGTAACGTTTCATCTTTTCATTATATTCATATTAAATTAATACTAGGCCTAATGTTAATTGTAAATGTATATATCCTAAAGTGCAATATATTTAGGTTATAAATTATCATTCTTTTGATTTATAAAATATATAAAGGCCTATAGCTATACTTTTATTAATAGATTTATTTGAAGTATATAGTAGTTCATTGAATAAATACATTATAAGTTCCTTTCATCTATTTCATAATTTTGATCACTCTATTGGCAATATCTATTTTAGCTAAATCGAAATACAGTAGATCTATATATTACTTTTAGGAAATATAATTTATGCGATTTAACAACATTGTCTGCAGGACATCAGGTCGGTTATTGAAGATGTTGCCAGTTTCTTAGGACATCCAGCGTCAGGTGAAAAGTTAGATAAACTTGTCAAACTTGCCGACTTCTCAAGAATGAACAAGAAATATGACGGACGGTTTCCAAAAGCATCAGTTCCGGATAACGTGCGAGAAGCAATTCCTTTTAAAATACTACGGAAAGGTAGTATATGCATATATATTTAATATGATTGTGTATATTATTAGGCAATGTTTTAATTCTGATGACTTCATCGATTGTTAAACAGGCTGTTGTTGACCCTCATAGTACTATTTGTGGAAAATCTACAGGATTTGGTACTGTATAAAATAATAATATGACTAAATGTAATTTTGAGTAATTGATTGAATGAATAAATGGATGCGTGAAGGACAACTCGAATGAATGAAAAAAAACCGAATTAATGATTGAATAACTAAATAAATTAATTGATGAATGAATGAATGGATGGATGGATGGATTGATGGGTAAAAGAATAGGTGAATGATTGATTGAATACATGAATGAACAAACGAATTAATGATGGATGAATGAATGAATGAATGAAAGTGATGTAGCCAACTATCATCATTTATGTTAAAGTCTAACAACTAACTAATTTTGATTATTTTAATTTTCAGGTCAAGTCGGTGACTGGAAGAACAAATTTACTGTGGCACAAAACGAGGCTTTTGACAAATTGTATAATGAGAAAATGAAGTGTTCTAGTTTGAAACAGCACATCAAGTTCGAAATCTAAAATTAAGGAAATGACATAACAGGTCGAGATCCATGAAAAGTCGTATATAAAGATGTGGGTTACCCACATCTTTATATTTGCACAAGTAATTAAAATTGTTTATTGAGCAGATTAATCACACTGATAAACAATTGTACAAATTCGGCTGATGCATATGAACTTCTATTTAGAGACATAATTTCATTATTTTCTTTCCAAAAAAACATAATAAATGTTTACTAGCACCTCATATCGACTTTTGAATGGTGAAAATCGGCTCAGTATAAACCCTTTTACCGAGTACAAATTTTAAGAATAGTAGAACATACTGCTCTTACATCTTCTAGTTTTCCCCCACCGTTGTATTTAGGTACACGCTACAGTATACACAATGAGCCTACAACTTTGCATAGCAGAGTTCCGGACGAGTGATTCAGCCCACATCTTTATACATCTGAGTTAACGCATGAATGGTTTCATCCTTCTCAGGACTTTTTTCCTACCCCACATCTTTATATCTAATTTTGCTGAGAGTTCCGCTTGAACAATTTCGTGGACATTTTGGTATCTGCGCATGACATGCTTCCATTTCAGGGTTTATAATGTATTGAAAGGCATAATCTAGGAAGAGAAGCCAACAGCGGACTCTCCGAGTTTTAGAAGTTATTTTATTTTTTCTTTTTAAATTATTTTGCTTTTTGAGCTGCGCTGCTGGCACCTAGCTATTGTAGTCTTGCTTGATTTTGTATTGCCTTTTTTTATCTTAAAATAAATGAATGATTGTTAGATAGGATAATTTATATGAAAGAATGGTGGTGGTGGGGTGCTGTTCTTTATATTTGAAAACAGAGACCTGCATATGAAAATGAAAACTCATTACAGAACCATTTATATTTTACGCATAAGTCGAAAAAAGGCCAAAGCAATGCCTATTTTTCCTTCCCTCATGTTTTGTCCAACTCTTGGACATGAGATGTGCATATACGTGAATTGTAACGTCGGTTATACAATGGAATCACCCAAATAATTATAAAGCATATGATGTAATTAGAAAAAAAAATTATTGTAGCACTGAGTACCCATAATTGACTGACTAATAAATCGTTACAAAAAAAATTGTTACAATATTTTCATGTATTAAGTTATGAAGATTTTACTAGGAAAAAAAATTAATCCTTTATAGTTAACTTTTCCTAATAATGATTGTTATTTCCTGACTAACAACTGTTGTTTTTGGAGGGTAACCCAGATGTGTGCCCTGTTTTACACTGGGCCGCCTGACAACACGGAAATGAAACTGCAGAAAACCATAGTGTAGATCTTCCTACATTTCAAAAAGTCTATTGAGTAAAAGTAGATAAACTTTATTTCAAGTAAACAGCCTTCTAAAGTTATTTGTGAATACATTGTTTACTGGAATTAACTACCAAATTAATGTTAAATAATTGTTTGTTAACCATTCCCACAACTAGACATTGGGACATGATTAATTGATAGCAAGCTATATTCAATGATTTACTGTGACAACAATGTGAAGTTTGCTACAAATAGAAAACATGAGCATATTAGGGTCATAAAAAAAATGACAATAACTTATACAATCATAACATGCACAAAAAAAAACAAGAAAAATTCAACATAGGTACTAGGTACACAGAAGACTATACAATAATTATATAAATAAATAAATAAAACGTTTCTCTTGTTTGCTATATACCTGTTGCCGTTTTAATTTGTTTCATGATGCAGTTACTATATCAAACATTCATATAACACTATGCTTAGCGATATTGAGTGATGAAAGTAGCAACATGAGGACGTAACTCGAAAAATATAGGCCTAAGTCATATAAAGGAGGTATAACACTTGTTCATATTACTACCGAAAAAATGGAAAATTAGAATAGCATTTGGGCATGATCATCTAAAAGGCTAGGTAAGCATAACATCATACCTAGGCCAGCTTAGGCACAACAACAACAACAACAACAACAACAACAACAATAATAATAATAATAATAATAATAATAATAATAATAATAATAATAATAATAATAATAATAATAATAATAATAATAATAATAATAATAATNAAATGAAACTGCAGAAAACCATAGTGTAGATCTTGCTTCATTTCAAAAAGTCTATTGAGTGAAAGTAGGTAAACATTATTTCGAGTAAACAGCTTTCTAAAGTTATTTGTGAATACACTGTTTACTGGAATTAACTACCAAAATAATGTTAAATAATTGTTTGTTGACCATTCCCACAACTAGACATTGGGACATGATTAATTGATAGCAAGCTATATTCAATGATTTACTATGACAATAATGTAAAGTTTGCTACAAATAGAAAAAAAAAAATCCAAACACAGATGAGCATATTAGGTGCATAAAAAGAAAATGACAATAACATATATAATCCTAACATGCACGAAAAAAATAAAATAAATATAAAAATAGTCTACATAGGTACTATAGGTACACAGAAGACTATACAATAAATAAATAAAACGTTTCTCTTGTTTACTACCTGTTGCCGTTTTAATTTGTTTCATGATGCAGTTACTAGATCTAACATTCATATAACACTATGCTTAGCGATATTGAGTGATGAAAGTAGCAACATGAGGACGTAACTCGAAAAATATAGGCCTAAGTCATATAAAGGAGGTATAACCCTTGTTCATATTACTACCGAAAAATGGAAAATTAGAATAGCATTTGGGCATGATCATCTAAAAGGCTAGGTAAGCATAACATCATACCTAGGCCAGCTTAGGCACAACAACAACAACAACAACAACAACAACAACAATAATAATAATAATAATAATAATAATAATAATAATAATAATAATAATAATAATAATAATAATAATAATAATAATAATAATAATAATAATAATAATAATAATAATAATATTTGTAAAGTGCATAATACATAGATCCCTAAAAAATGTCCATCAGAACACCTTCTTATAATTATAGTAATATAGCCTAGGCCCACAAACAATTGCATCTTCTTGGCAAATGCGTTTCTATTCATCTCTGGCTGATAAGTAATGCCTTGCTTAAATGGCTATCGGCAGAGGGGTATAATATAATAAGGTATTATATTGAATAGCTGACTAAAACCTTACCAAAAACAGTGATTAATATCATATCTTCGTAAGTACTTATCCAATTTTAACAGGAAAAGCGTGAAAATGTTTAAAATTATGAAATACAACATTATTCGTAGCCCACTATATAATTTATGGCATAACATTATAAAATAAATGTGCATCAGTCAAGAATTGCTTATGTGTAGGTGTAAGAACCTAAGAGATTAATCACAAGATAAAGGCTAATTCTTTTTTTTTCCATTTAGCCATGGATCTCAACCTGCAATGATAATTTTGGAAGCTTTCATGAACTAGGCCTACGGTACTGACGCCAAGTTATAATATAATTCATCACGAAGATGGCTTTAGCCTGCTTGTGGAGGCTTGACCGAGGTTTTTTCGAATCCAAATGTTAGAAATGTTTCGGCAAAAATGTAGGCCTAGCAAAGTTTACCAAAATGTGTGTTGTTTGAAAGTATAATACATACTCCAAGTATTGAACACGCCATCGTGTTGGGATTCAATATTTCGACATTAATTATGTCAGGAATGATGATGACATAACTAATGTCTAAATATTGAATCCCAACACGATGGCGTGTATTTCAATACTTGGATTAGGCCTATGTATTATACTTATCTGAGATTAATCAGTGGACCTTTCGGTTTTAAGAGTTGTTTATTGAGTGTAGTGCCTACCCACAGATTGTACATCATTTGAGGCAACAAAAGGAATTTGTTATTATTTATTTTATCAGAGAAGTAATGTGACGCATCCTAGTACGCTGTAGACTAATTTTCATTGTATAGACCGGTGATGTGAGGTGAATGGTAAGCCACGGAGGTATAAATATATTATTATACCTCCCTGGGTGAGCGGTGTCAAATTTACTACTCAGTCGGATATTATAAACAGAGCAAACCTCTTAGCTGAAACTTTACTTGTCCTACTAAAACTGAACTAAAATGCAGACAAAATCCGCAGAAAAATTAAAATTAAAGAACACATTTATAGATGATATATAAAAAATGAGATGTGTGTTACACGATTCAACATAATTCTCTAACCATCTTGTAGAAATCGACCGTTGGGGGCGTCTACATTAACTTAGACCAATGTTTTTGTGTTCGATTTTGATCGGCCAACTTCATTTCAGTTTGCGACAACGTAGGGAGTACTTCGTTGTAAAATTAATTTCAAACAAATTATTAATAATAATGGCTGGGTACGGTTCCAAAGATCGCAAGTATTTAGTTATTGCGGCGGTCATCGGCATCGTCTGTGGTTTCACTATTGGAATTTTAATCGGTGTGTTTGCAGTTGACAATGATCCTGACCCGAATCCAGCATACGAGAGGTCTATCCGAGAGGCGGATACAAGCGTTAGCAAAAAGTTGATGGATGCGATGAAAGCTGCTAACATCAGGGAAACTTTAAAGTAAGTAAGCTTATATGCAAAAACTATGAAAAATGTCATTATTTATAATACGCGACATAGGCGATTTCTTGTTTAAGTTTTACACCCCTAATAGGCTACAGGCCCTACAGTATGCATTGTCATCATAATTATATAAAACTTTTCTTCATAATAGAGGCCTATGTTACTGTAAATATAGATCTCCATGTATAAGTAGTGCCTATTTTCAGTAAATCAGATTCAAAGTTCAAGGCGATGCGGTCATATGTATTTAGTATAGTATTTTGTTTGTTATTTTATTTTTATTGTTCGATTATTGGTTGTTAGACGCTCAGATCCAATTGGCCTGAGCAACTAAAGTAAATACGTAGGACAAAGCATACGGTATACCTCAAGTGGGCATTATTCTGTGTGTATGTTTCTCTAACAGGAGCTTCAACAGTCTGAAACCGAATGTTGACTTGGGGCCGAGTTGCCATCAATTCTAGACTTGACGTCAGGAGTATGGATACAGTTTAATTATAATTATTTTTACGATATATATATATATATATACTGTCTCTTATACACATCTAGATGTGTATAAGAGACAGCTTCGTAAGTACTTGGCCAATTTTAACGGGAAAAGCGTGAAAATGTTCAAAATCATGAAATAAAACATTATTCGTAGC